ACCGCTTCAGAATGAAGAACCTCAAGCATTCACGGCCGTTACGAGCTACATGATCCACCGAAAATGCGGCACTGAGGATCCACATTCGCCGTGCATGCGCGATGGAAGGTGCTCGAAGCATTTCCCAAAGCAGTTGCGTGATAGAACATCAATGGAGGTGGATAGTTATCCAAACAGGAGACGCAATCGTACAAGCGTCTTGATAAACGGCGTGCATTACACTGACGAATGGATTGTTCCCACAAATCTGTATCTCATCACGAAATTGCAGTGTCACATTGATCTCGAGATTTGTGGGACAATCTCAGCGGTCAAATACCTTTACAAATACATTTATAAGGGACCTGATCGTGCACGTATAACGATTGAGAGTGATGGTGATGAGAGAGTTTTTGATGAAATTAAACAGCACTTAGATACACGTTATGTATGCCCGCCCCAAGCTCTCCACCGCATTTTTGGTTTCCCTATGCAGGATAAATCTCACACTGTGTACAGATTGGCCGTACACCTACCAGGAAACCAGATCGTACATTTTATCGCTGGAGAAGAACAACATTACTTGGACCAAGCACAGAACGCTTACACGACACTCACAGCGTATTTTGAGTTGAATGTGCAGTGCTCCAGAGCTGTTGATGATGGTGTAGCTTCAGACTTAACAATGGATGCTCGCGAACTCTACTATTACGAAATTCCAGAGCATTTTACATTCTCACCCCGTCATGGCTGGAAGCCAAGAAGACGAGGAGGAAAACAAATTGGTAGGATGTATACTGTATCTCCACGAGATGTAGAGCGTTACTGTCTCCGTATACTCTTACTAAACACGAAAGGAAAGAGATCGTTTGAAGATCTTCGCACGGTTGATGGAAGGACTTACGGAACGTTTTCAGACGCCGCAAAAGCTTCCGGCTTTTTGGAAGACAATACCTATTATAGGCAGAGTATAGAGGAAGTAGTACAATTTCAAACACCGACCGCCTTACGGAGCTTCTTCGCATGCCTGCTCTGCTATTGCGAGGTAGCAGATGCGCAGGACCTTTGGAATGATTTTGCCATGGCAATGAGCGATGATTATATGCATCAAGGATTAAGCGAGCAGGAGGCCATTGCCATGGCTTATTTTGATGTGGCGGATAGGTTGTCATTATTAGGCAGAGATCTGAGACAGATGGTAACACCTCCCGCAGACGTGCGTCCTGAGATCACGCTTGACACGATAGATTATGAGCTATACCGCAATGAAGGAATGCGCCTGTACGAAACATTAAATTCTGACCAAAGAAGGACTGCCGACGACATCTTGGCAGCTATGGATCGCGACATCGACAGATGCTTTTTCATTGACGGTCCAGGAGGTACTGGAAAAACTTATTTATATACAGTGTTGTACAATTTGGCCGTGGCACAGCGCCGCCGTGTGCTTTGCGTCGCGTGGACCGGTATCGCCGCGAACTTGCTCCCCGGAGGCCGAACGGTAATCTCTGCCTTCAAACTTAACATGGCAGACGGTAATCGTTCGTCACACTAATGAGAAGGCAACAGAGGGAAGCGAATGACCTTGCGTGCACAGACGTCATTGTTTGGGATGAAATATTAATGGCGCCAAGATGCTCTCTCGAAGCAGTTGACAACTTGCTTCGAGATATAATGCAAAATGACAGACCGTTCGGAGGGAAACTGATCATTGTCGGTGGGGACTTTCGCCAAATATTACCTGTGGTCGAACATGGACACCGAGAAGATGTTGTCGAAGCCTGTGTAACCAGATCGCCACTATGGCCGCTGTTCAGGAAACATCGCCTTCAGATGAATATGCGCGCACGAAATGCAGGAGATGATTGGCATACGTTCCTCTTGATATAGGTAATGGGTTCAGTACCACGGAAGATGGGTGCGTTACTTTGCCAGAGAACATCATATGCACGGGAAATATAGTAACGGAGATCTTTGGCGAGATTATCAACCCCCACGAAACCCTCTACGAACGAGCCATACTTGCTCCAAAGAACGTAAACGTTAAGCAACTTAATGATGACGCAATGCAACGTCTACATGTGGACAATGAACGAGAAGATAAGGTGTATAGAAGTATAGACGAAGCTTTACTTCATGAAGGAGATTCCGAACTTTACCCGGTCGAGTATCTTAACACCCTCGAACCATCAGGAATGCCGCCGTACAAGCTGAGACTAAAGAAAGGAGCCATAGTTATGCTTCTGAGAAACCTTGATGTCACTAATGGTCTTTGCAATGGCACACGACTGAGGATCGAGACTTTGAGACGTTTTGCCCTTGGTTGTCGCTTTATCTGTGGAGAACGAAGAGGCCAGTTAGCTGCAATTCCAAGAATCGATAATTACTGCGAAAAGCAACTGCCATTTCGGCTGAGAAGACGTCAGTTCCCCGTAAAGTTTGCCTTTGCAATGACGATAAATAAGGCTCAGGGGCAGTCGTTCAGTAAAGTCGGCGTATATCTTCCTGAAGATGTCTTCAGTCATGGGCAGCTTTATGTTGCCTTTTCCCGAGTACGAACGCCGGCCGGTTCAAAAGTGAGCACACCGAAAAGAGCAGTTCAAAACATTGTGTATGAAGAGGTTTTGCTCTAACGCGTTTTATCTGTACTAGCTTCAAGTTCTACTACTCGAAATGTTACTTGGTTTTCAAGAAAGTAAGGAAAAGATCATCAGCGCACAGCTCATTGAAGTTCTAAATAACCAAACGAAATGACGCATGCCAAAAAATTATGAAAAAGAGAGTTGAAAGTGTTCTTAAGGTGATATAGTCAAATACACCCTTCCAAAGATACGTCCTCCTCCAATCATATTTGTCTAAACCAATGCTGAAATCGGTCAGAAGGGTAAACCAGTTATCATATTTGGCAAATGGACTCACTGAAGACCAAATTCCTATTTATATTTTTTAATGATATTGAGACAAGTAAGATGGCAGTATCGAACTCTAACGTGACAGCTATTCTTTGTTTAGTTACATTTAGACGGAAAAAATGCACAAATCAATTAAGGAAATTCCAAAATTATACTATTTTTTGCAAGACAAATCTTGGGCTGAAAAGTTTTCAAATGTACGTAAATAATTTTCAAATTTTCCAAAAACAGTAGGCGACTTTAGTTTACTCTAGGAATCAATTACCGCCAGTATACAAGATCTAAATGTCCATGTGAAGTGAACTCACGAAAATGAGCTGTGTGCACGCAAATTTCTTATACAAGGTGCAAAGTTTTTTTTTTCACAAATTGAATATGAATTAACACGTTTACAGGAAGTTCCTCATAGCACAAAACTGTCATAGCTCATAGAATTTAGCAAGTGAAGGTGTCACACAAAATTCTGCTCTGAGAAAGATGTTGCGGGAAGACATCATTTCCAAGCATTTACGTTGGAGTATAAGCAAGCCTGCAACAGTTTTCGAAATTGTCGTCAGGACAGCAGATATCTGCCAAACGATTATGTCAATTCAAGTATACAAAAAAATAGTAAGAAAGAATCAGTTCCTTTATCAAATATTTTTGAGTTATTTTGCTTACACATCATCCCTGCCATTTGCATCAGCACAATGAGTATTGTGGACGAAGCATTATTGCAATTTCTCCTGTCAAATCTTTGATATTTTGGGATACCAAAAGCAGATTTTTCCGTGATTTTAGCAACGAACTACGTAGTCAGTCAAATTTTGCAAAGAGATTTATGCTGTGAATACTTGAGGAGAATAAATTTTCAAGTGATTTTGTCCAAATTATCATCATGGTTATGTCGAAAAAGAGCTATGCGTGTGAACTCAAAAGGACTCTTTTCTATTTTAGAACATATTCGACCTTTCACTTTTCTGCTGATGGCATAAAGAAGTTGATATGGAGCGCCTCAATTTTATACGGGATTTCTCTGCGAAATTAATAATGCTCTTATCAGAACTTCATGTCAGTGCACATTTCAAGCTACAGTCTGAGAGTCCGGCGAAGCCGGACGATCAGACTGGTAACTTATAATAACGGGCTAAGAGTGTTTACGTGACTTTGTGTGTGTGTGTGTGTGTGTGTGTGTGTGTGTGTGTGTGTGTGTGTGTGTGTGTGTGTGTGTGTGTGTGTGTGTGTGTGTGTGTGTGTGTGTGTGTGTGTGTGTGTGTGTGTGTGTGTGTGTGTGTCCGTCTGTCTGTAATGAATTTCATAGAGCGAGTTCCAGCCAATGTCCTGAGCCCAAATTTTGCACAGCGCATGCTACCAGCGTAGAACTCCACCATACAAAATCACGAGCAGATTCGTTGGGTGGATCCATCGGAATTTGCGAGTCAGACGGATCCACTTGGCTTCTGGCCCGCAAAATTGGGTCTGTATCAACGCTTTTTGCAAAGTCGTGGATGAGTTTGGCATGTTGATGTGCAAGACATGGACTTTAGGCGAAAAAGTGACCAAAGGTCTACTACTATATTAGAACGACGCCAAAAAGAAATGGTTGCGCAAATGGTCAATCCGCCGTGGCTTTACTTGACCATTTGAGAGGATTTTTGCATAGAAATGTAGCTCACGGTAATTGTTGTCCTTATGGCGACTACCAAGCCGAAAGAAGTTCAAAAACCTAATCGAATTTGCATTTGTTCTTCTGCGAAAAGTTCCATCCACGCGAAATTACCGATCTCACATGAAAAACCCTTTGTAATGAGTAGTTGTTTACATTTCATTCGTGGTAGTCGTCATTGCACGGTGAGTTTCAAAGCCATCATTAGGCGAGAACAAGTAAGCATATAAAGTAAGCTTAGCACATAGTTAGAAGGTGATCTGTAATGCGCTGCTTATGCGTAACATATCCTTCACCAGTGCGTCACCTCTGCGAAGCAGAGGTGACGCACTGGTGAAGGATATGTTACGCATAAGTGGCAAAATAGTGGCATAAGGCAACTTTTGTCTACAGGAAATAATACGCATTGAGGAACAATCGTGGTTTAGGTTGGTCATATATACAAAACTTTTTGTTTACAAAAATCATACCAGCACGCAGCGTTTGCCTTCTTTCCATTTACGATCAGGCGAATTCGAAGCCCACACAGTGAAGTCAAGCTTGGTTCCGTCAGTCCATATCCACTTATCTTTTTCCGGACCTTCACGTAAGCCTATCCAAGTCATGTCGTGAATATCACTAATTACTCTACCCATTTTTGCCAACTCTGAACCGTAATTCAAAAATGTTGGTATCTCACTTTTACATGAAATCACGAGGACTGTACCTGCAACAAAATAATTCTCTTTATAGGTGTGAATTGAAGCCAGATGTCCTCCAAGAATGTTGCAGAGGTGTTCTGCATCGTTATAGTTCGCATCGAAGAAATTCTGTGAAGTCAATTTTATTATTGATAAACACCGACTTCTTGCTTGAGTGACGTCAATGAGTGTATAGTAGTGACGCTGCTATAGGAAGCAAGGAAAAAAGTAAGATGGAAATCGTGATTATCCGGTTGTGACATAGCTCTTACACCAAAATAGTTCAAAGTGCAATAAATCGCATTTTGACGTTCCAAAGAGAGTTCATGGCACCCCCTATAAAGCAAAGTAAGCTCTACAAGGTGGTATCCGAGCATTTGAACAACATTGACCTACGCGGGGTTTATAGCCAAAAAGCTAGAGCTCCAAACCTATCATTCTTAACATGCCTAATTAAGCAACTTCTCAATTTCTGTTACAACCTTATTTACCTTACCTCCAAGCACAACCGAACAACGCCGATATTGAACCTTAGAGGATTTGTTATTACCAAACGGAGTGGAGTTTTTGCAATGCATTGATTTCTTCGCATTTTTCTGACTGACCATTAAAGTTCGCTCAACTTTTGTTTTGAGACTTTAGTTTGAAACATCTTTGATAGAGTTGCACCAGACACCGAAGTTCCTAACAATTAAATTGCAAACGATTATTTTCAGAGCTGAAATCAAATAGTAAATGAGCTACCGGGGTCTGAGAACAACTGGGCTAATGGTAGACAATATGACTGCTTGAATCAGTAAAGCATACTTACAGAAAGCATGCATACAAAAAAGGAGAAGAGCTGCTTTGAGCATCTAAAAGGGTAAGAGAACTTTACCGCCGAAAAGGGTGGTTTCACGCGGACATCAACCGTCCTGGCGCCTTCGCCAAAACTGCCTCATGCTAGCTGTCCGCGGGTGAAGCCTATCGGCAACCTAATGAATGCTTTATGGGGTTTCACCGGAACATAGAAGAGTCTTCAAAAAATACTACGCTGTAGCAGAGAGAGCTTTGATTATGCCACAGTTGCTACGTAAACATTCAAAATGCATAAAGCACACGGTTTAGTGGAAAAAAGACTTGGAAAAAACCAGCAGCTTTTTTCAGAAATTTTGTCTCACCAAAAATGAAGTTACCCCAAAAATGAATTTCCGCCAAATCTTGCAAGTTTCCCCCTCAGTCATCATATAGTGGAAACAGTAAATTACTAAGTTTAGGTGCTGGAAATTTTTCAAGCTAAAAGTCAAGAAACAAAAATAGGCTAGAATTCGAAAATGTTCCCTTTTCTTGTCTCGGTTTTCATGCTAAATGTGATATTTTTGAAAACTACAGTGCACGATAGCATGCGCAAAGTTAATTTGTAGAGAATGCTGAGCTCTATCGAAAGCTCTATCAAAAGCTCAATTATTTTTCATTTGCACTGCTTCTGTAGCACAAAAACATTCATCTGTAGCAGAAAAACATTCATTTTCCGGCAGAAAATATATACAGAATATCCAAACAACGAGAGATGCACTTGATGCATTTCAAAAACTTTGCTCTATTTGATTTTTTAAAAATTTTCCCAAACTCGATGAATTCGAAATCTGATATAAAAAGAATCGTTAATTCAATTCAAAAGTGTGCAAAGAGCGGGAAACCGCATGACGGGTCTCGAAGCGACTCTTGCAAATAGCACCTTCAGACTACTGGTTCACTAGTCTGAAAAATGATTCTGTATGCTTCTAATTTTTTGGGGACATCAAAAATTGCTTATGTTTGTGAAGCAAAATGAGCAATAAGCATTAACAAATCTACAAAGGCCTGATAAAAAAAATTTGAAAGTCAGTTTTAGCTTTAAAAAGGTGATTACGATGAATGCGAGATTTGGCAAAACAGTCCGAGAGCATGGCTGCTGGAAAATAAAGAAGTGATGCTTCACGAAATTTTGAATTTCCCTACTGCTATTTTGTTTGATTTTGCAATAATTTAGAACTCGGAGGTCATTTGAAAAATTGCAGAGGCTCATAATATCGACTCCAGTAATCATTGTGTTTGGAACGAAAATTTCTGTTTGTGTAAAATTTTAAATCATGTGACTTGACTGCTCACGTGTGGAAGCTGTAAAGTAGGAAGTAATGCGAACTCATGCTGAGTTTGTGTTTGGTCGAAATTACAAAAGGCAAATGACGATGCATTCAAATGCCCTTTCTTTTATCTTTTTATATAGCTTTTATTTCATTTAACCACATACCTTGTAGCAAGCATCCGTATCGCTAAAGTACGCCCATCCATCTTCGCAATGCCCGGGACATGCTAAAAGGTGTAGTTGATAGTTGACAGACAATAACATGATGCACGCAACATAACGGCACTGATTGGCCATCGAAATTTTGCTTAGCGAAGCGAATCAGCCGTACAAAGTAAATCGTACGTGTCAAAGAGGGAAGTCAGCGACATGGCACAGTTGTTAGGTTGTCCCAGGCCTGAACGCCGTTTCTAATGTAAGTAAAAAATGTTTTTTGGCAACTTGGGGTGTTACCGCTTAGAGCAAAGCAAGCTCTACAAAATGCTTCACCCAACAATGAGTCGTAATCCGGGTAACGATGGAGCCAAAGTAAGGATTTTCAATTACCCTAAATGTCAGATCTCTTTCTAAAAATGTCCTCCGCACCTACAGTTTGGTTATACAGTGATACGCAATAGAACTCATATTGGGGTAAATTATAAAAAATGGGATATCTTGAGAATAATTGTAGATTTTTCAGGAAAGAAGAGTGCATGAACTTTCTTATTTTGATAGCTATTAGAATATATTATTCTCTTTTAGACAGTACAGTATATAAGGTTGTTTACATACCTAATAACTTTACACTTGCTGAAATGAAAAGTTACTCCTTCGAATTATGAACTTCTAGCATATTTGCGCAATGAAACATGCGAAACCGTCCGAAGTACCACTGCTGCAGTGGGTGAAAGTACAGTTATCGAACCCATTATGGCTTGTTGGCCGCAACGCTTAAAATCAGGATATATAGTAATTAGTTTCGAGAACGAAATACGTGTCATTTACTTCTTTGCAAGTGACCGCATGTTTTCTGGCTACCATCTGATAAAGCTCTTTTCGCTCTATCCATTCATGTGCTATTTACCTCGGATTTCGCTTATTTTCCGAAATAATAGTGCTCTCGCCTTTGCTATTCCTTTTATACACTTTAAACCTACCTAAGATACTAAAAACCTCATCTTCAGTTAAAATACAGATATATGCAGACGATTTAAAAATTTACGGAATCTACGATTCTAATGATTTCTTGGAGGTTCAGTCAGCCCTCAGTTCTATCAAAAAAAATGCTTGAGTGGTCGGTTAATTGGGATATTCCCCTCAACCTTGACAAAAGTTGCGTTATGCACATTGGGAATACTACAGCATCAAACTATGAAATTGACGGAATAACTTTGAGGGAGTGCACTACAATCAAAGATTTAGGAATTCTTATTGATTCCACCCTCAAATTTTCACTACACATAGATTGTATAGTCAGAAAAGCGTATACTGTATTGTATGACATATTTCGGAATATACAATCACAAAATCCTTCAGTTTTAAAGCTCTTGTACAGAACATATGTGTTACCTCATCTTGAATATTGCTCACAAGTTTGGAGCCCTTACGTAAGAAAGATGTGAGGAAACTAGAAAAGGTACAACATACTTTTACCCGATTACTATTTCGCAGGTGCTGGTTCAACAGAAACGTTCCCGATTACAATGATCGTCTGAAAATCCTCAACATGCGAAGTTTGGCGTACCGTCGAAAAGTCTCTGATCTGGTTGTCTGCTTTAAAATCCTACGTAGAGAAATCAGACTCAAAGCTAGTAAATACTGGATATTTATACCCACCAATCAACGCTCTAGATCGTTCAACTTGCATTATCCCCCAATCACTGAAAAGCAATTTTTGCTGACTTTCAACATGTTGTTTTTTAGAGATGCAAGATGGTTACAACATCTTCCGCCTCACATTCTACAATCTAGTAATGCCCAAATGTTCAAGAGAAAGTTATCTAATCTTGATTTGGATAGATTACTACTAGATTGATGCTGTTTACTTTTTACACATGTTAGCTTCCTCTATCCTTATCATCTCACACTCTCTCATCTTTCTATTGTAATACATTTACTCGTGCGCACTTATTGTGCATTTTGTAAATAAATAAATAAATAAATTGATGATTTTTTGGTTTTTATTGCACCAAAAATTCGCAAATTTTCAACTTTTTTGCTTTTTACCTGGAAATAAAAAACCTATATATTCAATAAGCCATTTGAAAGGGCATGAAAAGCTCTTTCGAATGGTGTGTGATTCGCTTCATAACTTTACGGTACAGCAGCGCAAGAATGAGAGATATTCAAAAAACCCTGTTCGAGTTCTTTGAGGCGCCACGCCAAGCGTTGTGGGAGAGGGCGTAAACGCAATGCTCAGAAAATAGCAAAGGTCGCTTATGTAAACGACGTTTGAGTTGCAATCCGCTTGCTGTTGTTTGAAACAAAAAATCCCAAAATGTAGTGAAAGTCCAGGTGACCCATTTTTACCGTTCATCCTAATACATAAAAATATTCGTCGGAGCTTTTATCAAATTTATTCATGATTCATGCCCTAAGGAGAAAGGGGGGAGGCAATGAATTGGTTCAGATTTTTCATTAACGTACATATAGGCACAGTGGTTTGAATATAGTATGGAGTATATGATTTTTATTGATTTCAATAAATATGGAATATAAGACTTTTAAAGAATTAACAGAACTTCCCACGATATTTATGCTCTGAACGAGCTCAGCTGGCTCAGTGAAAATCTTCCAACTATGTATTTGAAAACAGGCATTGCAACACATAAGATTCCGAAGTTTTCCGTATATTAATGTTTTTGAAAATATTGAATATCCTGATCCAAATTTGGGGTCTTATAATCAATTGTGCGCGTTGAACGAGCCATTTGTATGTTTCAACATGGAAACGAACTTAGGCCACAGTGAAAAAAGAAAGCTGTTAGTCATAACCAATTTGATAGGGAACCAGATTAGCATGCCTACAGGTTGAGTATATGTAAATTTAGCATGTTTTGCGATATATCATCTGCAACAAAATCGAGTTTGACTCCATTACTGTGCTAGACCCGCTCCCTATCTTAACACATTCACGACAATACGATGCATCGGTGGGTCGTAAGATTCCTGAAGCTTTAGCTTTGCCATTTTGCGATGGAATTCTACTGGGGGCTCTGGCACATGCACGACAAATACGGGGAGTGCACGGTACTAATGTTAGCCCATCAAAAATTAACGATTTTATGATTTTATTGATTTTTTGCATTTTTCATCCCAGCAAGCTCAAGCCTTACTTATATAGGTTTTGCAGCATGCTCATTACGATATGATAAGTTAAGTTCTAATATTGCCTTCTTACATTGGTTTCTTAATTTCTACAGAATTCTGCATACTGCTACCGCAATCCCACTGTGGGAAAGTAGTGAACAAAGTGGACACTATAATCGTGATCAGCACATTGAAATATCCCCATAACATCTTCATATGAAATATCCCCATAACATCTTCATAAGAATCCATGATGTTGGCCTCGCTCAGAATGACTACCGTAACTTTACCGTATGATGCTAAAAACTGAAATGAATCATAATTTGATAATCAGCGCCTTCGATAACCCTTGCGGAAAGATTCTCGAAAACACGTTATGAACTTTTTTTCCAAAAAGACTAACATTTCGGACAACACGACCCACGGTTGGGTCGTAAGTTTGGCAAAGCGAAAAAGGCTTTGATCCGAAACGGCAGTAGATGTGTTGACTCAATGAATAGTAGTGAACAGAATGATGCCGGCTTAAAGAAAGACTGAGTTAAAGAACGAAGCAGTATGATCTAGTTTGCCGCGGAAGCTGCTTAGATTTCCTTTTACTGAGTCCGCAGCGGCCATTAGCCGCCAGTAGCCGCCACTAGCCGCTAGTCGCCGTTGGCCGACGTTGACTGCAATTAACCACCTTTGTCTCCAGAAAAACGCGAAATGATTTTTTACTACGCTTCAAACTGATACTCCCGATCAACCCGGACCTTAGATTGTTTTATGTTTCTCCAGCAACCCACTGTATCTTTGGAAGCTCAAGAAGAGCCGATGGCTAGTGGCCGCATGTCTCCTTCCCTATAGTTGTAGCTCCCAACCCAATACTTAATCTTTGAGTAAAGACTGTCGCGAGTGAACTTTACTCAAGCAAGTTTCAAGATTTGAAAGCTTCTTTTATGCTGCACGGAAAAACGAAAGATGTATTACCAACCTGCGTTACATTTGTTGAGAAAGGCTGGAAACGGGGACTGATTCGAGCTTCTAAAAATGCTACACTCTAGGCTGAAATGGTTATAGAATGAATATTAACCTGAAAATTTGTTTGTTGTTGTTCGGGCTTATGTAAGCTCCCGCCAGTGGAAGTAGTAAGAGCAGCAAGTTCATCAGGTGCGTCCTATGTTCTTTTTTTATAACACTGTTTCACATCCGAAATGACTAAGTTCGCAATGTTTCTAATGCAAAGATTTGGAAGATTGTTAAATCTTTGTTATCGCAACTCAGCTGAGGCGGACTAACAATAAGTTGAACCTGCGGCGCTTCAGAGCAGTATCTGTCAAGCCGTCATTTCAATGCAGATTGCTTTGTGAGAATGACCAACGTATGGACCTTGAAGGAAAGGCATTTGCGCTCGTCTTTCAGCTAAGAGGGTCATAGTAAGAGATAAGTATGTAACACTTTTTTTGCTACGTCGGCGGGGAGTCTGTGTTTTCGGCCATCATCGAAGAGCCGATGATGACCACTATCAAATCAAAAATTTCGCCTCGATAAAAGAGGATATTCATCTTCAACATTTTATGAAAAAATATTGTAGCCAATAGGAGATAATTTATAAAAGTTGTCCCTTCTGAAGGCTCCGAAATGGAAATCTCGAAAAAAATCTTCAAAAAAACACACTATCCAACTTCTTACAGGAGAGGATACCAGCTTAGATTGGCGATTGCAGACTAGATGTATATAGAACACTTTTTGGACGTAAATTTGCTTTTTTTTGCAAAGCAATTTCCAAAAAAAACATGTGAGCGTTCAAAGGTTCGAATTTGCCAAAGCTTGTTTGACACAAAATAGCGAAAAGTTACAAAAACAATTTTTGAGACACTCTGTATAGATGTCGCGCATGAAAAATTGAATTTTCCCAATTTATTGAAATTTTGCGACCATTTAACGGTCAATTTGCAGCAAGCGTTGTTGTAGAACTTGAACTTCCGGACTTTTTTCGTATTCATACGTTCGATAGTCTAGAGTAGGGCCTCAAAAGAGAAGCCCCACATGAAAAGCGAAGGTTGTTCATAGAATAAAGGAAAGTGAAAAGAGCATCCCAAATAACAAAAGCAGCAGAAATCTTAACACGTTGACGACAGTGCTGCGCAATGGTGCGCGACAGGCAGTCTGTCCCTGTGGACGACGCCACGCAATGGTGCGCGGCGGCCTTAATTTCAATACATACTATCTGTCCAATCCTCTCAGTTTTTGTTCATATAATCAACATAGGCTCAGATATACTTCATGTGTTAGCTCCGCCCTTTTTGGCAAACTCCGCCCACCCCTATGCCTCCCACAAGAGCCATTTTTGTTCATAAAAAGCATGGATGAGGCCGTAAATGAACGCAAAGACCTCAAACAACTTTCAGCCAGGCCCCGCACACCTTCAGGCAAGCTCCGCCCCTTAAGTGGCAAGCTCCGCCCCCTAAGTGGCAAGCCCCGCCCACTTTTGAAAAATGCCGGAGTTTGCACAAATTCATTGATTTTGGGCAATTTCCAGCATTCTTGAAAAGTGGGCGGGGCTTGCAAAAAGTGGGCGGAGCCGCCCCGCCCACCTGCATTTTTGTATCTCACGCATAGATGCATGCATACATACATGCAGCCAGCTGTGGAAGTGCCGAGAAACGGTTCTGCACAGGGACAGACCTTCAAAAAATGGCTCGTCGCCAACGTGTTAGAAACCGAATAAAACGTTGCAACGAGTTCAGAATCTTTTCGTTTCGCGGCACTTCAGACTGCAGGTTTTCGCTTTAGGACCAGGCAATCTACAGCATGGAGAAAACGAGGAAAAGCTGCTTTCTTTTTGTGATTGTTTTTACAACAGCCATGTTTCGGAGTGGTGAGTATAAAGAAGAAGATAAACAAGACAAATCAGTCACGAAAAGTAAAATTCTGTTTATATTGAGTTAAAATGCACCCGTGAGAGCATTTCAGTTGTCAACCCTTTGAATTTTTACCCCCTTTTCGTGGTTACTATCTCTGGCGACGTTTGTTGTCAGCTTTGTTCTGCTCGTAATTCTGTGCAAGATGCACCCAAGTTTAAAAGAAATGATTACATTATATTAGGCTGATGCATAATTCCTGCACCAAAATAGGTACAGACCGCAATAATTCGGATTATCCTACATCCCAAATAGGATTTGATATATCAATATCATTAGATAGAGCAAACCTAGCTCTACAAGATAGTGCTCATAATTTTGCAGCAGCTTTGACACAAGGGAAGAGTGAAGCTAAAAACGATGAAGACCTATGCGCCCCAAAAACCAAAAAAAAAAATGGAAGTCTGTTCAGAAAAATAGTTCAAAATTTCTAGCTTGCTCATGCATTGTCGTTTCGTATAAATCTCTCTATGCAGCTGCTGTATTTTTCTCTCACCTAAAAATTGAGAAAACGAGGCTTTTTATGTTTTCGCCAAATTAGTGCTGAAATGTTCTAGCACTGACAGTTGTATAATATATGCCGTAAGCAGTCAACTTTAAATTTTCAGTTTTTTAGAAGAACTACTTCACGAGAAATATCGAATCTAGCTTCCCTTATCGAATTTTTTCTTGCCTAATCGCTTGAAATTCGGCACTTCCCGTAAATCAGCTGTTGTAAAAAAGCTAAAATTTCCAAGTCATGCTTTCAAAGTCCTGTAGTGCACAACTGTTAATGCTAGAACATCTCAGCATTGTTTTGGAAAAAACATGAAAAACTTCGTTTTCTAATTTCTTGAGAGAAAAATACAGCCACTGCATAGAGAAATATCTTATACGAAATGACAATGCATGAGGAAGCTAGAAATTTTGAAGGATTTTCCTGAATAAACTTCCAGGTTTTTTTTTGATTTTTTTAGGGGATTGGATCTTTCTCGTTTTTGCTTCAATTTTCGCTTGGATCAAAGGCTGCAAATCTTTGAGCACTATCTTGTAGAGCTAGGTTTGCTCTATCTAATGATATATCAAACCTTGTTTGGAATATAGGATATTCCGGATTATTGCGGTCTGTACCTATTTTGGTGCAGGAATTATGCATCAACCTGATAACTCCATTAAAACCAGCGGCTCGGCAGAACGACAACGCTGCAAAGCACAGTCTTAGACTTAGCTCATCCAGGAGGACCGAGAACGATGAATCTCCCAAAGTTGTCATTCTGTCGAGCCGCTGCCTTCAAAGGCACCGTCCACCCAAAATGGGGTCGATGAGATTTTGACGTCTAACAGTAGTGGGGCCCCCAAATGTATACTTATCCAACTCGCGCTGGCGAAAGTGCTTCCGAAGCGAAAAAATTGCTTCGAAAATCGCACGGATGACAGATTCGCCACGTTGGCTTTTTCCCTTTGAGTGGGCGTAACGTTCGTCCCGCCCATTCGTGCGCGCCCAACCAATCACCGTTCCGTAGAAATCGCTCTATGGGTTCTGAGAACGGGGTTTTTTTCGTGGTTTTCGCGGATTTCCAACTTGATAATCGGAATCAGGGGTATGAGAAGGTCCTGGAACGGCAAGAACATGGACGTCGAGATTTTGAGTGGACGGTGCCTTTAGGGGCTATCAACGAGAACGCACTTTTAGAAGCTTTTTGTCGAACAGTCCACCGCATTTGAAAAAATAAGCTCTGCGACGTTGTCTGCATTGTAGGCACAAGCGCGATCTAATCAATGGAAAGAACCACTTGAAAACGATTAGACTGAAAAGTAACTAAGGATTTCTCAAGCATAATTTTTGCCAAATTTTTTGCTCAAACCAAAAATGAGGTTTTGCGACGTTGCCAGCGTGGAAGTAGAGATCAGAAGCTTTAATATGATATACAGCGTGCTAGAATTAGAATAGAACAACGAAGGAAAAGGCCCAGAGCCAAATGCTCCGTGCGCCGCATTTGGGGTAGCGTGGTAACGCGCAACGTGACGCAGACGAGCAGAGAGGAAAGACCAGAGCCAAAGGGGCATTTGGCTCTGGTCGTAGACCTTAGCGGAGTCCTAATGAAAACCTGCAACATTGTATATCATTCCGATGCCGCTACACTAAGAACACTAACAACATGCAAGCGTTGAAAATTAATTTTCAACGAGATAAATCAGCATTTTGGAGCGCGCCTCGCCGCGTAGATTTGAGCGCAGTTTTTCTTCTTAATCGGACTCCAGTAGCTCGAAAACATTTGAGACCAATCGCAACCTAAGAAGAGTTCGAGTGAGACATATTGCCCTGAATACCATGCAGATTTGCAGAGCTATAAAAACACAATTTTTCGATTTCGTTGGGATATTTTTGAAATAATAATTATCAGTTTATTTCATTTATATTTATTCCGATTTAGTTATGATCTTAACATCCGAGGGTGGCTTCGCCCCGGATTTTTGGTGAAGATTGTGTTCTTCTTATCTCGCTCAAAGTGAAGGTCACGAGAGCACATGGCTCTATGTATCGAAGGCATGTTCGTATTACTAGATGTTGCAGGATGTTTAAAAAATAAGGAAAAAGAACGGGAGAATTTTTTAACTATTTCGCCAAGATGTCTAAAATCGTTCAAATTACAAGGATACGGGTGGAAGATTGCCATTTTGAACTAACTCTCTTGATTTAAAACAATATAATCCAGTTTCTCTGAGGCAATACTTCTACTAGTTCCTATACTTCCTATAGTAAAAGTAACACGAAAATGCTGTTTGTACATTTCTTTAATCTTTAGTGGTCAACACCGTAAGAGAACTATGAAATACAAGGAGTAAGACAAGGAACAATCGTTGATAAGAGTTGTCAGAAAATGAGGACATGAGCCCAGAGCGCCTTCATATATTGCACGTTGCATTTTTTACGATAAGCTTAAAAAACGGACAAACGTCACTATCATTCCATGCTAAAGTGCTGATGGCGGATTACTCCAGGCATCGTTAAACATGCAAGCTCCAATCCGCAAAGTATGCACCTTACTTACACCTTGCACCTCACCTCACCCACCTTACTAACTCATTTCCTCAAAAAATTTGTTTTCAGTTGAGATTAGGTGATATTCAAGAAATTTCCTTATTTCCTATATACAAAGGCAACCTTCGACACTGGTACTTATGGTTTATTTATTTATTTATTTATTTATTAACCAGTGGGTCTCCGCTTGCGGAGGTTCGCGCTGGCTCTCCTATCCGTTTGCCTTTCTCATGTTCGCATAATGATGACTTTGAAACCCACCATGCGATGCTGAACATCACAAATGAATAGTAAACTGTCCATTTTCGAAGCATCTCCATGAGATCGGTAATTTCGAGAGAAAAAAACTTGTCGCAAAGGAACACCTGCGAATTTGATTAGATTACTGAATTCGTTTTGGCTTGGTAGTCGTCATAAGGATAATAGTCACTTTGAGCTAAATTTCCGTGCAAAAACCTTTCCAAGTCTGAAGGTAAAACCTTGCCAAATCGACTGTTTAAGCAATCACCACTTCTTAGCGCTGTTGTCGCAGAAAAACATACTTTTTGAGCACTTTTTGGGTTAGAATTCATGAGGCGCAGATGTACTTGTCAGGCAAATCATGACTCCGCAAAAAGTCGAATTAATGACCTAGTTTT